AGTAGGTTGGAGGCCATTGCTAGTAGGTTGGAGGCCATCGCTAGTAGGTTGGAGGCCATTGCTTGTAGGTTGGAGGCCATTGCTAGTAGGTCTAGTAGGTTGGAGGCCATTGCTAGCAGGTTGGAGGCCATCGCTAGTAGGTTGGAGGCCATTGCTAGTAGATTTTGAAGGTGCTGATGCATGCTTAGTCGTCCCAGGTGAAGCTTTGGCGTCCCAGTTGCCGAGAAGAACCCATGCCGTCCGGGAACCCTCGCGTGGTGCTGATGTGCTTTTGTTGACGCTCACTTTACCAAAACTCGGTCGAAAAAGATCTCAACACCTCAAGGGTGGCGGAGTGTTAAACGGTATTAAACAAGTCTTCTGTTCGAGAAGCAAAGGGCAGTGTAGGCCAAAACTAGCATGAATTAGGGGCAGTGAGTGAACATGCTCAGGTTGGACCTGGCAAGCTTCCCATGGGTCCGCTGGCTCAGAACCCTTAAAGTTGGAAAAGTAAGAAGGCACAAATTGGTTTAAACATAGGAAGTTTAGACTTGATGAACATCCGTTTTAGTTTTTTACGATCCTGAGACATTGAATCTTTTAGATTACACTTGAATCATTCATGTCGCCATGGCTAGGTCAGAGAGATCATCCGTGCCAATGAGACCCGCCGGCACATGGCTGAGACAGATGTGGGAGCCCTACGAGGGGACACACGGCGATGGGCCTGTAGCAGCCTGTCCTAAAGAGGAATACTTCTTTGTTCCCTTGTTTTTCAACTGTTCCTGACATTTGAAAGACCTTAGAAGGTCTTCAGGTCCATTTAGGTCAAGAGGTTTTGGATTGACCGATTTACATCCTTCTCAAGTGAAACCACAAAGGTCCTTTACATTGGGATGAAGTGAATCCACATTTTTAGGAGCACCAAAGGCACATACTGCCCATGAGGTGCATTTTATGGAGAATGTCTTTGGAGATTTGAATTTCCCGTTGCAGTTCGAAGACGAGGACTCGGAACGTTGCTTGTTGAAGGATGTGTTTTTTGCGAAAAGACAACTCGTCTTAACGCCTCAGCTGAGCTAGTGGTTGATTTTGAGGTTTCATTATCTTTTAAGCCCGCTCCCCCGTCCCTACTTAATTAAGTAGGCGCCCACTTAACAGAGTAAGGGAGAGGTAGCTAGGTACAGGACGCTCCTAGGCGTAGGACCCCCGCCGCCCTAAAGGCGGCTGGGGGGATCTTCCTTGAAGAAGCGCTTGCACTAATGATTTGGTTCCTAGATTTTTAGGGAAACTTAGCTTTTGAGGTTCCACTCCATAGATGACGTAACAAACGCTTTTTCATTTTGGAAGCAAGCAGGAGGCGACCACTTCACTTCGTTGGCTATTTTTGTTTGAACGCCTGCTTTTGAAAGCCCTTGGGCCGCACCAGGATGAATTTTCATCTGCCGAGGACAGTGCCTGGCTCAGCTAGGAAGAGTTTTGTTTGGGACGCAGTTTTCCACACTTTTTGGAAGGAATGGACATGTTAAACTGTCGAAACCTACAGTTTACTGAGTCTACTGTCGTCTTGATTCTCCTTGTTGACAGCTAGTAGGTTGGAGGCCATTGCTTGTAGGGGGAGTGGGCTTTTAAGTCTTGCTGTTCCCAGCTCACAGTTGCATCACTTAAATCACCAAGGCTCCATGAGCGAAGAATCCATGGAAGGATGAGGACCTCGTGGGGCCGTATTCCGAATCAAGTCGACCAAAAGGAGATGCATGGACGCTACGTTCGGGGCTCCTGGCCTTACTACTAGGAGCAAAGGGCATCGCTACTAGGAGCAAGGACGCTACTAGGAACAAGTGCATCGCTACTAGTAACAAGTGCCTTACTACTAGTAACAAGAAGCTACTAGGAGCAAGGACGCTACTTGAAAAAAGGCCCGCTCCCCCCCCTAATAGCAATGGCCTCCAACCTACTAGCGATGGCCTCCAACCAAGTCGACCAAAAGCATGTGCTGATGAAATCTGTGCTGACATATTTTCAATCACTCAGCCCTTGGAGTAGTTAAACAGCCTCTGCAAAATGTGCGAACCATTCTCGAGTGCGCTTGGACATGTTCTTTCTATTCCTGTTTGTCCAAGCCACAATGCGCAAGTTCTTTTAAACAAATGAAGATAAGAACAAGCACTTGACTGTCGCGTTTGTGTTGATTTGATGAATTTGAACACCTCCTTCTTGAAGGCTGAAGCCCGTCTTCCGTTGAACCTTATGGGCAAATCGTCCGAATGAGCGTCTTAGTTCTAGAGCAAGTTTGATTTGTTGCGGTGGACGCATCCAGTTCTTGAAACAGGCAGTTGCATGAATCTAATCTGCAAAAAACTGCTTGCATATGTTGCTTGCAGCCACCCTAGTCCTTGGGTGAAACCCATTTGTACAAAGATCTCAAGCGGAACCTGCATGGCTGAAGTAGGCCCAGGTCCTTTCTGATTCACCTGCCAAAAGTGTTTGCGTTCTGGCGTATACCATGATACTAGCTGGTTTAGCGGCTCACATGCAGGGGAACTGTGTGAAATAGCTTCATAGACATGCCAAAAGAACGTGTTTGGGTCGTAGAATGTCGTAGACATAAGTTATGACATAAGACACAAGTGTCTTTTCTTTCTTTTCTTCTTCTGTGGTGTCCGACAGCCAATACCAGGGAGGTATGGCGGAAGGGGCAAGCTGCAGCTCAAGAAGTTAGTAAATGCGTGGACGCGTGATTGATTTGGTTCCTAGATCTACGGAAACTGAACCTTGGGAACTGTGTTCTTTCTTCCTTTCTTCCTTTCCCTTTGCGACTGGCAATATTCTCATCGAAAGGAACTTCCAGAGTTGAATCGAGAAGTGCTTCCAAGGGTGGCCCAGCGGCATATTTAAAGACAAATCGAAGGTACGACACAGTGGATGAGGACTGGAAAGCCAGTGATGTCTACGAGGCTCGTCGTCGCGTTGGGGCGGGCCTATTTGATCCGAAACAGAAACAGCCTGTGATTGTCGGGCACCTTGACAGAGAAGGATGTGATCTTTAACCAGAAACAAATCATGACTTATTAAAGACCTATTTGTACTTCCTTTTGGTTATCGACCCTTCCGGATTTCTTCCCCTTTTTTTTTCCCCTTTCTCTCTTTCTTTGGTTTGCGAGTCCTTTTTGCACTATTTATAAGGCCTTGGGTCGACACAACTACCCGCTCCTTACTCGAAGTCGTGCAACTATGTCTAGCCTCTTCTTTAACCACCTGAAACGAACATGCTTTCGCCATGAGCGTGACTGACAGAACTTGGATTCTCGGCTCTCGAACGCAGGCCTTGCTCAAGTCTGAAGAGCTTCCAGAGGTTGAGGTCAGACCCGTTCAACGTGCCAAACGTGAATTAGTAGCTAGAAGCTACTAGTAACAAGAAGCTACTAGGGGCTCCTGGCATCGCTACTAGGAGCAAGGACGCTACCAGTAACAAGGTGCTCTTAGCCAAAGAGTTCAGACTCAAGGGACCCAAAGGCCTCGAAGCGAAGCCGAAAGCCGTTGACATTGGTCGTTTCCAGGCTGCGGTGCCATTGAGTGAGCCAGTGGAGAGTGAAGGCATGACGCCAGAGGAGCAGGACTGGATAAAAGGGCTCTACATCCCCGACATCCGGCTCTACATCCGGCTCTGCAATGGAACAATTGTACAACAAGTTCTTTCATCGCAGGGCTTTCCAGAGGCAACCCAGCAGTTTCACCACAAAGACCGCTGTACTGGAACTTGGCTCAGGATGCCGCTTTGCAAGAGCTTTTCGAGGAGGCCGCCAAAGGCGGGGCCTGTTCGCAACGAGTGCAAGAGCTTTACGTGAGGTGATCTTGTGCAAAACCAGTCCAAGACTTGAACTCCCGAGTGTGAAGCCCAAGGGCATCGCTACTAGGAACAAGTAGCTACTAGGGGCTCCTGGCACTACTAGGAACAAGAAGCTACTAGGAGCAAAGGGCATCGCTACTAGTAACAAGAATCTACTAGTGGCTCCTCAATTCGGGGACACGTGGCACGCTTGACGAATCTGCAGGCGGACCGCTCGGCTCTGGGCCTGTTGACCCCAAGAGGAAGGCACCAACATTCTGGACATGTTGGGCCAATCGGTTTGGCAATGGAGGGTATTAGCAGCTCAGGTGGTGGTTCATGGATGAAGGGCATCTCAGATCGAGTGTATTTGAGAGAAACGCTGTCCTCTTGAAGCCTCAAATGTTTGTGAATGTTTGGGGACCAGTCCATGCTGTAGCTGACGGTGGGAGAATAATGAGGATGATTGCGATGCTGGTGGAGTCGACGTTTCCTCAAGGAATATCACCCACACCGGTTTCTTCTTGCATTCTGGGGTGCAAGCAAGGACTCATTTCAAGCTACATCAAGCTGCGTCAATGAACTCGAGCCAGATTAACCCAAGAACTGTCGTAGACGAACAGCTGACAATCTTGCTTTCATTTTCCCAAACATACCAGCAACAAGGTGCATCGCTACTAGTAACAAGAAGCTACTAGTGGCTCCTGGCACTACTAGGAACAAGAAGCTACTAGGAGCAAAGGGCATCGCTACTAGGATCAAGGCACCAAAACACACTGTTTTCCATTGTGAAGCTTCAGAGCGAAGCAGGTCGCTTCTGACCTGGCAGCTGAGAAGGCTGCTGGGCAGGTAGCTGCGCAGGTGGCCAAAGCAAAAGCGCAGGCCCATTTCGAGGGCAACAAGGGGCAGGTCGATTATATAGTTGTAGTGACAGGAAGATAGGAAAGAAACACAAAGAGGTTGAATGGAAAAGCAAAAGAGGTTGAGATTTTTTGAGCAATATCTACATAGCAGTTGGCATTTGAGATGGGAAACGAAACGATGCAACGATGCTTGCTGAACTAGAAGGGTTCGAAGATGCCAAGCTTGTGAGCTTGACAGTCTGCAGAGGCTGTGGCTGGTGAACCTCAACTTGATCCGGATAAAGAGGCGCAGTTTTTTCAAAGAGTTGAGGCTCCAGAGCTTGAAGGAAGGCAGAATGATTTGCACAAGTCCAAGTCCACGTGCCAAAACGTGTAAAGAGATATCTTAAGCAGCGTTTCTTTTTTGCCCGGAGTCTGGCACGCCAAGGCCAAACGCCAGAAGCGCCGGGAGTACCGGGAGAGGAAGCGGGGCCACTCAGGTGTTGGACGTTTTGTTTCAAATATGAACTTGAACCTAGCAGCAATGCCAGGAGCTACTAGTAGCTTCTAGCTACTAGTAGTAATGGCCTAGTAGCTTCTTGCTACTAGTAGTCTCAACCCTCAGCTGCTCAGTGACCAATAAATGCTTTTGTGTTTCTCGTGCCCAAAGAGGTATGTCCAATCTCTGCACGTGTTGAGGAAGCTGAAGCAACAAGCTGGGCTCTTCATCAAAGCAAAGGTGCATGCTTTGGCCATTCTTTCGACCTCTGGAGTGATATTCTACGATGCCAGGAGCCCCTAGTAGCGTCCTTGCTCCTAGTAGCGATGCCAGGAGCCCCTGGTAGCTTCTTGTTCCTAGTAGTAAGGCCAGGAGCCCCTAATAGCGTCCTTGCTCCTAGAGTCCACTCCACGTGCTTGATTTTCTTGGGAATTGCCAGCCAGCTTCAAGCACAGAGGATGGGTTCAGTTGGGTTCCATCAGATGTATAATATCAAATGTACCTAACATATACGTGCAATATTTATACTATACATTACAAAATAAGTCTGATATGATACCAGTGTAAGCGTCGGTAGCGCTTAGAGCAGTTCTAACTTCAAGACCTGAGGCCGAAGATTCATTTGTTCTGAAGAACTCGAACTCGGTGGCAAACATAGAAACACATGAACAACATGTTTTTGTTAATATGTTTGTCCTCTTTTCTGTCACATTTTCGCATATTTTCGACGTCTTCCTACTGCGATGGGAAATGCTTGCAGCCCTGAGAGTGAAGAGGGTGCGGTTGCGCATTCAGTTCATTCGCAGCTTTATCCTATGTATTTGGTGAAGGCCCACGAGATTTTGTCAGATATACCGTATATACCTTTCCGCCTTTCCGCTTTGTTCAGAAAGAAAGGAAGGAATAAACGAAGGGTCTGAAACAGACGAACTTTGCCTTCAGATTTTGGAGGTCTCAGATATCTTGCAGATGGAGGGTGCACCCGAGCCGCATCATGTGGTCCAGGAGAAAGGCTTGCTCCATGCCTGGCAGCCAGGTGCGATATGATGGCCTCCATCCTAGCGATGGTCCAACCTAATAACCTAATAGCAATGGCCAGCAACCTAGTAGCAATGGCCTCCAACCCATTAGCAATTTTTCTGATCGATGAAAGGCTTTCGTTTCGTTTCATTCTGACAGTTTTTGTTCCAACGCGAACGACGACTACATGCCGACACGCCGAGGGACCTTCTGCCCTTTTTAGCCAAAGCGCGTGCAGAAAAAGACGCTTATGTTAAAGAATGTGTTCTTGATACTACTCTAGTAACTCTAGTAAAGGACAGGAAGGCAAGGAAGAAAGGAAGGACAAAAAGAGGACGTGAAGAAAACAGACTAAGAGCATTCTTACGTCCGTCACATCAAGACCTGGGGCCTGTCGGGGCCTGTCGGATGCAGGAATGTTCAGCATTTTCCTTTCACACCAGTGGCTGGGCCGTGCTCATCCAGATGCCACCGGGGTTCAGTTCTGCGTCCTGCAAGAGATGCTTCGGGGGATTATCAACGGATCTGTGAAGGCAGTGGATGGTAAGAACGGATGAGTGTCACGAATTGTAACTTAGAAATGCACAGCCAAGACCGGCGGAAGCAGACAAGTTCGCTGAAGGCGTATGAAATCACCCTGTGGTGTGACAGGTCGAGCCTGACCTCGTCTCCCAGATGCAGTCGAAAGCCTCCCGTGATGTTTCGATGGATGCAAAAACCAGAGAGCATCCTGGATGATGGCATTAATTTGAACGCTACTAGGAACAAGTGCATCGCTTCTAGTAACAAGTGCCTTACTAGTAGTAACAAAGAAGCTACTAGGAGCAAAGGGCATCGCTACTAAGAGCAAGGACGCTACTAGTAACATATTGTCCTGGATGGCATTAATTTGAAGCGGACTCTGAAAAGTCCGAAAAGTGTGATCTAGACACGTCCAAAAGGAGGGGAGGCCTTCACACGAAAGAAGACGGGATCGGGATTCGACGCCTTGAGAGACAAATGGATACGCCTAGTGTATGTATATATGTCTTGCTTCTTTCGCTGAGGCAAGTGGTAAATGGCTACGTGTTCTTCGACTGGTTTGCAATCCCGCAGATCACTGCAAGGACCAAGGGTCAGAACGAAGATAGTGATCGATCCGATGCTGCAAAGGCCGTTCAAAGTATACCTTTTTACGTGGAGGCAGGGCCGGCACAGGGTTGGCACTTGGACTTGCTCACCTGTTACTCCTACCTTCTCTGAAGAGCAACATGAATTACAGAAGAACCCTTTCTTTAAGAGACAAAAGAAAGAATGAATCATCGCTATTAGGTTGGAGGCCATCGCAGGCGGATTTCCAAGCATTCTTGTTACGTCGCGAGGGAGAGTTCCGTCCAAGACCTATTTACTTTAAACTTAATTCTACTAGTAGCTTCTTTGTTACTAGTAGCTTCTTTGTTACTAGTAGCTTCTTTGTTACTACTAGTAAGGCACTTGTTACT